GTCGGATCTGCGACTACTTTCAGAATTAACTACTCTATTACATGACATATTGGAAGTGAAGCACCACATCATCCCAACCGGTATAACATACTGTCTGTGGATCAATACTCTGTGTTTCTAACAACTATGGTAAAATCAATAGATTCTTACCATAACCAACATCAAGACTAAAATATAAAAGCTTGCCCAACGCTAGCAACATATTGTTAACAACAACAACAAAATGTTTGATAATTGTTTGATGTATGATTTTTAATAACTGTTTCGGAGGTGCGGTACACTCGCATTAGTAAGTAACTACCGACAGCTTAGTTATATCATAGACAATAGAGTTTGTCTATGGTTATATTTTACCCTATTTTTAATTGCTTTTGAAGTCTGTCACTAGTTTTAGATCTATAAGCTACATGATGCTAAATTAGACTTTAAACTAAAGCACATTACATAATATTATTACATGATACGTATATAGACTGACTTACTAAGTGATTTCATTATTGTTACCATCTTCCATAATAAGTGATTGGCAAATATTATTTCTATATTTTTGAGTTCTTGTGTTTTGGCTGTCTAAATTGTTGTAACAACCATCAGTTTTGACCTCTCATGAGATCATCAATCAGCTGATACAGGGACGTGTTCTCTATATGATTGTACAATTTAAGTACCATGGACCTCTAGGTCTCGACCTAGTGGAACCCAGGTGGAGTGACGCTTAAACAAGCAGCCGGAATCCCTGGTTAGGATCGAGGGGCAACCCTCCTTCCGAAGGGTCTGCTTCGGCAGCCGGCGAGCCTGATGACCTTAAGTCATCCGCCCATGATGTGCTAAAGGTTGATGCGTAAGCTTCGGCCTACATCATGGGGCCCGGGTATGTCCTAAAGGATAGGTACCGGGTATGCAGTCAGGGGGCTTCGGCTCTCATGACAAAACGAAATGGAATGAAATGGAAATGGAATGTACAATTTAAGTATCACTTCACTTGCAAAATAATGTTACTTTTTTAAAGTAAGCAATAACAAATTAAGCTTACATTATATTTTTTCCGGATAGTGAAAAATTTACTCTAGTAAAGTGAAGCGGTGAGAAGGCTTTGCGAAAGCTTAGTCTCTACTAATCCAACTTCTCGAGGAAATAAATCACTTTCTCTAACAACTTCTGTGATTGCAACTTAGCTATGTCGTGTGGTCTTATGTCATCATTACAAAGAAGAAAGTAAGAATAAAACCAATGCGATAGGAATTATTTATATCAATGGAAAAAATTCAGGAGATTTCAACTTTATTCCAAGTGTTTATAGTTTGTAATAAGAACTGTTGTTAAGGTCACATAAGGTTAAGGTTAAATTTACTTTGTCGTGTAAATGCTTATCTAAGGCTAGGGCCACACTTGGCGACTTTGTCGCGGCGACTTTTTTCCCGCGACTTTGTCGCGACGACAAAGTCGCTGGGGGTGGCCACAATAGGCGACAATTTCGACCTTTCAGTTTACTTTTTTACCATACCAGTAAAAATAGAGTTTCGAGATGTTATATTGTATTTTCAAAATCGTGTCATTGATTATGGAAATAAATTAGGATCTATGACCGTTTTTGTATGTTTTTTGACCACCTTAGAATAAATCGATGTTTTTACTATTAATTTCAGTACCATAAGATTATTTATTAAATAATATATTTATTAAAATATTGTTATAATTTATGAAAATATATCCATAAACAAGCAAACTAAAACAGTTTATTCTTCATCATAATGGTCATTTTAAATTTACAATTGTTCAAATTATCTCCGTAACCGTTAGGTTTACAACAAGGCTTCAATTAACAAAATCATTTTTTTAGCACAACAAAACAGTTTGAAAGGAAACTGTGAAATTTATGTTTAAGGGTCAAAAATAAGAAAAAACAATTTTATACCCCATTAAAGAGCCTTAAACATCCCATTTCCATGGTCCGATCATTTTGAATTGCGAGCACGTTTGAATTAACGTTGGTTTTAACATTTGTACCAAATTCCACTAAAATCTCATCATTTTTGCTCAAGTTATCGCGCTAATTGGCACATAGACCTAAATGTATACACTGTATATGTAAATACATACATATGTACTTATATATACGTATATATGAATTTGAACGGTGGGTGTTTTTGCCTCTGGGGACCTCAGAACGAAAAATCAAATCGGTCCCGGGTTTAGGTCTTACCATGCAACCTAAGGTAATAGCTTATTCCCTATAGCGAAAATTCGAAAAAAAACACAGGTATGGAGTGAATTCCCTAAAACTATCATTAATGGATGGCGTATTTTAATTTTGTAAATTTTTTGTAATATTTTGGATGAACTTTGGTGAGCTATTGACATTGAAGACAACGCACAACATTTGAAAAATACACGAGGTTTTGGATTCCTGTTATACCAGAAGAGTTAAATCTCATATATTCTACAGCACACAAAGGTATCATGTCAACACTTATTTGGTCGATGACAATATTGGTATTTTAAAAGCATATTTACCATTTAACAAATCCAGTCCATAACTGTACAATATAACTATGAAAATAGAGCAGCAAAGGGTGTGTGAGCGAGCGACTTGTCGCCTAGTATGGCCGGTGCCATAAGATAACATGGGGAGCGTATTTGTCGCCGAGACCGAAAAACGTTCACGGTCGCGTTTGTTTTTCTGTCGCCGGTGGTCGCTGGTCGCGAGTCCCTTAGTGTGGCCGCCTCCATTTAATTTAATGCTACGCACTTTCATTCATTGACGCAGCGACTTTGTCGCCACGACAAAGTCGCCAAGTGTGGCCCTAGCCTTAATTGCACATAAATTATCCTTTATAAATGTGAAAGTATGCATGTTTGTGTATAACTCTGAAGTGCCATCGCGTGAAAACTACTGGACCGATTGAGCTGACATTTTGCAGAGAGGTACATGATAGTTTTGAGAAACACATAGGCAAATTAAAATTTTAAAAATCCTATAGGGCTATAGGGTTCCAGCCCCACGGGAGTTCAAGGTGAAAATTGTATAAAACTAATGTTAGTTATCTGAATAAATTTGAAAATTGTAATATTTTAAATAACCATTCTTTTTCACTTATGTACAAATTTAAAAACTTATTTACGTATTATTTTTCACTCAGAAATAAATTATACCCTGAACCCACGCATTCCGTGCAGTTTTGCAATAACTTACTTCAATTATAAATATTCAGAAGTTTCATTTGTAAGATACCAGTAATCAATTGTTATTAATCATGAACGTAGAGTGTTATATATTCAAGAAGAGTTATTTATGTTATATTATATAGAGGCAAGTTGACCTCATCAAATAGTTTAAATGTTAACTTATCGGGCCTGGTGAAGGAACCAAACCAGGATGAGTCATTCGGTCAAAGTCCAAGAGGCTGACTAGCCGATCGAGAAGGCACAGTGACGGAACGCCATTCGACGTAATGAACCCGGTGAGTAAAGTCAACTCGTACGCTTACAGACAGTGTTAGTAGCCTAGTCTGCCAGTGTCCTGTACTTGTCCGGTTCTGTTCATTTCCAACGTCCGAGTCATAAAAGTGGCGACGAGGATAAAACTAAAGTTTATTTTACTGTGTGTGGTTAAAACAAGAGTTTTAACGAGTACGTTTGTAAATATTATTACTATTTTTTCTCGCGATTTTCGGAATATTTGTCGTTTTTAGCAGTGTTCTGCAAGTTTGAGTTGGTCAAGTTGAACCTGAAAAACTTTGTCGTACTTTGCAAAGAGAGCAAAAAGTTGGTTTTTGGTTAAATTGGTGGAAGATTTGTATATATTTTGTATTGGAGGAGTTTACGAAGAGTATTTTGTGGAAAAATTCCTGGAATTATGGACGGTGGATGCTGATTGCTCTCTACTGGCAAGTTGGTACCACGTGTTGCACATTGTGCAAGGGATTGTATTTACACTTGTGGCTTCATTTTACCGTAAGTTTGGACTTATTTACTGTAGGCCTATGGAAATAAGGTACAATGGGAACAAAACAAGTATTAGGAAAAATTCAAGAATTCAATGGTGAGTTAGAAACCTTCGAAAACTATGTTGAGAGGTTGGACCAATTTTTTAAAATTAATACGATTAAGAATGAGGACAAGGTTTCTTATTTTATCTCTCTCATGGGCCCTGAATTGTATTCAACCCTTAAAAACATTCTGATGCCAAAAAAACCTAGTGAGGTTATACTTATGACGTAATAGTAGCACAGCTTACAGCCCATTTTGTACCTAAGAAGAATATCTCTTATGAGAGGTTTGTTTTTAATAAAAGGAGTCAAAGAGAGGGGGAGACTGTCTCAGACTTTGCTATTCAATTAAAAAAATTAGCGGCTTCTTGCAAATTTGAAAAATTCTTGGATGATGCCCTTAAAGATAGATTTTTGTGTGGACTCAAATCAAATGTTATCCAAAGTAGGTTGTTGTCTGAGGGAGACACTTTAACTTTTGAAAAGGCTTTGGAGTTGGCCTTGGTCCTAGAGGAGGCTAGTAGAAATGTTAAGAGTTTTCATCCTGGAGTGTACTAGAACGACAATCAAATATCTGAGGTTAATTACGTTAAGTATAGGCCTAAACAAAGGTTTGGCCCTAGACCTAGTAGTAGCGAAAGTTTGGGTAGGCCAAGTAATAGTGAGAATTTTGGTAGGCCAAGTTGGCCTAATTCAAGGCAAGGTTTACACCAGTTGTGTACTTGTTGTGGTAGAAACCATGAGAGTAAAAATTGTATGTACAGAACTTACAGTTGTAATATTTGCCATAGGAGGGGTCATTTGGCAAAAGTTTGTCGGCAGGCCGCCAGTAGGCCTAGTACTAGAATTAACTATTGTGATGATGGCGATGAAGTTGTAAATCCTCAACCAGGTGCGGAGCATGATAGTGGTGAAGAAGAGTTTGGGCTGTACACCATAGCCTATTCTAACTCTAAGAATAAACCTGGCGCAATTACAGCTGATGTAATGGTAAATGACATATGTGTTAAAATGGCTATTGATTCGGGGGCAGTAGTATCAGTGATGCCTGAGGATGTTTTCCTCCGGCTTTACCAGGGGCGAGTGCCTAAGCTAAGGGAGAGTAAAATGAGATTGAAGACTTATACTGGTCAATGTATTGAAGTTTTGGGAGAGTTTCAGGCAAATCTTTCGGCTGGAGATGAGTCGCATGTTCTGCCGCTGGTGGTTGTACGGAATGAGCAACCAAATCAACCTTCGCTTTTGGGGCGAAACTGGTTGGCGAGACTTAAGTTAAACTGGAGGGAGATCATGAGGAACTGGCAACCAAAGAGTGGGACTGTCATGCAGCTTGAAGGTAGGAATGTTCCATATACATCTACTTCTAGTGTTGAGGATTTAAAATCAAGATTTCCTACTGTTTTTGAGCCTGGTATAGGAACAATTAGAGATATTAAAGTAAACCTAGTGTTGAAAGAAAATGCCAATCCGGTCTTTTGCAAGGCTCGTAACGTACCATATGCGCTGCAGGATGCGCTTGAGAAAGAAATCGATAACTTAATCAGGAATGAAGTGATGTATCCTGTGACCCAAACTAATTGGGCCACTCCTGTTGTTTTGGTTGAAAAGGGTAACAACTCTATTAGAATTTGTGGCGACTTTAAACAGACAATTAATCCTCAGTTACGCACAGATTATTATCCACTCCCTACTCCAGATGAGATTTTTGCTAAAATTGCTGGTTCAAAATTGTTCTCAAAAATTGATTTGTCAGCTGCATATAATCAACTTAGAGTAGACGAAAACTCTCAGGAGCTTCTAACGATTAATACGACTAAGGGTTTATTTCGTTATTCTCGCCTCCCTTTCGGAGTGATAAGCGCTGGGGCCATTTTCCAATCCGTCATGGACAAGATTTTGAATGGGTTGGATAGAACATTTTGCTATCTAGATGACATTTTGATTGTGGCTCAAACTCATGAGGAAATGCACCGAAATGCGGTTGCAGTATTGTCGAGACTAGAGCATTATGGGGTAAAAATAAACCCCGCTAAGAGTGAATTTTTTAAGGATAGCCTAATTTTCTTAGGGCATAGGCTAAGTGAAAATAAAATACAGCCTAGTGAAGAACTGTCTAAAGCTATTGTTAGTGCTCCCAGGCCAGAAAATTTGACACAGCTACGATCCTACCTGGGGTTGATCAATTATTATAGTAAATACCTCAACAACTTGTCTAATTTGTTTCAACCATTGTATGGTCTGCTAAACAAGGGGGTCAAATGGGGTTGGTCTGAACAGTGTGAGGAAGCGTTCCAGAAGAGTAAGGAGCTTTTGTTAGGAGATAGAGTTTTGATTCCATACGACCCAAAGTTAAAAGTGATTGTATCAGCTGATGCCAGTCCTTATGGGGTAGGAGCGGTTATCTCACACCAAATGCCTGATGGGTCTGAGCGACCCATAGCCTATGCTTCCCGAACACTAACGGTGCATGAAGTGAAATGTTCGCAAATAGAGAAGGAGGCCCTCGCTTTAGTGTTTGCAGTAAAAAAATTTCACATTTTCCTTTATGGCAAGAAGTTTCTTTTGGCTACTGATCACAGGCCTTTGACGTTTTTATTAGGCCCTACCAGGAGTATACCTACCTTAGCCGCTGCCCGTGTACAACGTTGGGCTCTGATCCTATCGGCCTATGAATATGAGATTGTTTACAAGAAGGGTTGTGATATGGCCAATGCCGATGGGCTTTCAAGGTTACCATGCCAAAATGAGAAGCCGGGACCGGAAAACACAGTTGCGTTTTTGTCCATAGCAAACGAACTACCGGTTACTGCCAAAGAAATTAGTACAGCAACTCGTTACGACCCGATCTTGTCAAAGGTTCTTGATTTTACGATCCATGGATGGCCAGAATACGTAAGCAACGAACTTCTGAAACCGTATGTTGTGAGGAGCCATGAATTGTCCGTGGATGGAGATTGTGTTTTGTGGGGGAGGAGAGTTATTATCCCGGAACCGTACCGGAAAGAAATCTTGTTTTTGCTACACAAAGAGCACCCTGGAGGCTCAAGAATGAAAAACCTGGCACGAGGGTATGTATGGTGGCCGAAAATGGACTCGGATATTGAAGAGCTGGTTAAAGGCTGTGGAATTTGCCAATCAACTCGCAACGCTTTGCCCCTTGCCCCATTACAGCGCTGGTCTTGGCCTAACCAGCCCTGGCAGAGAGTCCATGTGGATTTTGCGTCTTTCCATAACAAGGAATTCCTAATTCTGGTGGACAGTTACTCTAAGTGGCTGGAAGTGTTTCAAATGCAAACGACAACATCGGCAAAGACAATTGAAAGATTGAGATCTTGTTTTGCGGTATTCGGACTGCCTTGTACTCTGGTGAGTGATGGAGGACCTCAATTGAGATCCCAGGAATTTGAAGAATTCTTAAAGGCAAATGGCATTTTGCATGTAGTTAGTCCGCCTTATCATCCGGCTAGTAACGGCCTCGCTGAGCGTGCTGTCCAAACTACTAAGAACACCTTTTTGAGACAAATGCTGCAAGATGAAATGTCTAAATCTAAAAGGTCCGTTCAACATCGCATTGATAGTTTTTTATTTGTGTATAGAAATACACCACATACAGCAACCGGTTGTTCCCCAGCAGAAATGTTTTTCAAATTCAAGCCTAGGACTCATCTTTGTTTGTTAAAGCCACATTTGGAAGCTAAGGTCAACGAAAATCAAGAACGTATCATTCAGACAAGGAACAAGGGGGTAACTCCCAGGAACTTTGATGTGGGACAAAAGGTATTCGTAAAAAGCGTCAGGAATGAAAGGTTAAACTGGCTGCCTGGTATTGTTGCAAAAATTGTAAGTCCCATGACCTATTTAGTGAAGACCGAGGGCCGTACAAGATTTGTTCATGCCGACCACTTACGTGAGAACCATGTGGTGTCAGAGGATGAAGAGGATACAATAATTCCATGCCCTATACCAACTACGCAAATTATTAAATCACCCCCTGCAAGGCTGGATGTAGGAATTCCTGTACCTATTACTCAGCCAGAGACATCTGATGTGCAAGAAAGTGTATCCCCATCCAACGAAGTCAAGAATAAAAGTCCAGGCCCGCATAAGAGTCCTAAGGTGCTTTTGCGTCGATCTCAAAGAGAGTGGCGAGCGCCTACAAAATTAGATTGGTAAAAAAGATTTGTTTTCCCCCCCAAAAGTAGAAGTTGTTTATTTTTGTTTTATAATCGGTTGGGAGGGAATGTTATATATTCAAGAAGAGTTATTTATGTTATATTATATCGAGGCAAGTTGACCTCATCAAATAGTTTAAATGTTAACTTATCGGGCCTGGTGAAGGAACCAAACCAGGATGAGTCATTCGGTCAAAGTCCAAGAGGCTGACTAGCCGATCGAGAAGGCACAGTGACGGAACGCCATTCGACGTTATGAACCCGGTGAGTAAAGTCAACTCGTACGCTTACAGACAGTGTTAGTAGCCTAGTCTGCCAGTGTCCTGTACTTGTCCGGTTCTGTTCATTTCCAACGTCCGAGTCATAAAATAGAGGAATATAAAGCAACAACATGATTTACAGTCTGGTCCAGCCGTATTATTGACCCATTTCGATCGCTCCCTTTTCACATATTGTCAAACTATGAATAGAAAATTGATAATGTTAGTATAGATAATAATAGTGATAATGCCACTATTTTGTTTTTACAGTCGGTTCATTAGGCCTACGGTTCATAGCGAAGATACATTTATAGAGTTCTCGCTAGCGCTACCAACGGTACCGAACTGAACTGCAGACTCACTCATTAAAAGTCAGCTTTCCATTTTTATAGTTATTTACGCTTGGAAAAATATTTTGGTTACATATAAATAAAAAGTTTATTTTGTGATTTTGGGGGGTAATTGTTGTCAATGAAAATTAAAACACTTGGATCAGGACAACTTTAATGAGTACGACAATTTATACGGGGAGTTGTGTAGCTGTCTTGAAATGTTTGACGTTCCTGTCTTTCATTGAATAAAAAATATTGTCAAATAGAAATATTTTAGAGCTGTAAAAGTACATTGTACTGTTTACAAGTATTTATTTTTTTTTGTAAATTAAATAAACTCATTACTATCTAGAGTGCCAAATGCCAGATAGGGAACCGAAAAATAGGGGGCTGTACGTACGTACATGGATTGGTGACAAAAGGAATGATACATTTTACCTGTACGTAAATTAATTCATACATAGCCGAGATATGTTCATTTGGGGAATTCGCCACTTGGTCATTAAAATCAGAACGCACGTCAATGTTTCTTGCTCTGGTTAAAATTAAAGTACTTTTTAGTCGAGTCCTGGTACAGTTATTTTTAAAAGTTCCGGCGGCAGCAAGGATTGTTTTCAGTTACCAACGCATCACTAATATTTTTAAAATGGTTTAGCCTCTACTTTTTTATAATTTATACAATCGTGGATAGTTGGCAGACCGATTTAGAGACTATTTAAATGTAACAAAATATGTTTCAGGTACCGTCCAACATTATGCGGGGATCAATAACAATAATATTTATATAAATTGTCTTATTCCTACAACCATTAAAGATCTTGAGTTATATTTGTATACCACTTTTTCCTGTATCATAACTAATCTGTTGATGCTGACTTAGTGTATTTAATATTATACGAGTATTAAACAACGTGACGCGCAGCCATCTTTCACCTATCTTCAATTATACAAACTGACAATAAATCTACTGGTTCTTTTCATGATGACCCTACTTTTTAATAAAAAGTTTCGAACTAATCTCTTTGATCAACTGATCATGCTCTAAAATAGCAGTTATAACCTAACAAATTAAATTGTAAAAATCTCCTTAAGTAGGATACTAAAATATTTTAAATTAAACATTATCCTAAGAATTGTATTCATATGTGTCAACCAAAACGGTCGTTGATTACGTAGTAAAGCGAACTAAGACCTGTTTAGAAGTCGTGGAGTAGTATGTTCCTATTGATGATATTATTCCGTAGTGTTTCTCTCGTTCGACCCCAAGGAAATAAGGAATAGGGCCTAGTAGTTTACGAAACGATCGGGTAAAGATAGTCACATGTAGACAATTCAAGGTACGAGCTTTGGCGATTGCCTTTAAGGCGAGTGTCTTAAAGGCTAATTACGCTAGTTGCGTACACTACTTTACCTACGACTGTTTTCTTTTTTTTATTACTAACAATAATTACTCATAACGTCTAAGGAACCTCATTGGTTCAAACTTGACTGTAAATTACCAAAACAATGCTGTTGAGTAAGTAAAAGATAGTGTAAAGTGAATCTTTTAAATTTTAGGAACTGAACTGAAATGTTTAAAAAACTGTCTTAAGTAAAGTATCAGTTAATTTTGGTCCTTTGTTTATTTCAATAGGTATTTTTTAAAGAATCATTAAACCAACGCATAGGAAGAGAATCTGATTACTGAGAGTTATACTTTCAATTGAATACATTTAAGTATAAGCGACTAGTACACTGTTTATGATAAGAGTACATGAAACTTATCACAGTAACATTTATTTACTACTGTTTTGGAAAACTTATTAAATTCGTACTTCTTTGTGTTCAGATATTTTACAGGTCTCACCTTACCTCTTTATTATTTTTGACAAGGGTAAATATATTTTAGGTCGCATCCAGATATAGATGTGAACGAAGAATCGGGTACTCAAATCAAACACACATTGAATATTCAAGAAAACGCAAATTGGCGTGTGGGACCCCGTGAGGTAAGACGACGACTGGAGGTACAGAGATTATCGGGTGATCGTGGTAGCAGTGGGAACGAAGGTGTGAAGGAACATGCAATGGGGTTAATTCATTCAATCAGGCTATATTATCCGTCGTCGTATGATATAATTGTACAATGTACACGGATCGAACTAGCATATTAAATACAAGTACCTAAGAGAATTACAAATCGAGAAAAAAATATGTAATGCACTAGTCCTACACTAAAATGCTATAATGCATTTAGTATCGTAGAGCAGCTTCACCTCGATGGTTGCAATAAAAACCTATTGTGTTTTTAAACGTTGTGAAAATAATAACTCTTATTTCGCAGCTTACCAGGTCAATGCCATGATTAATCAGGCCTTAAATTCTACTCAATATCAATCTCCAAACAAATGATTAAAATTGAAAAATTGAAGTAGTAAGAATATGTCGCCTTTATTACAGAGTATACATACACATCATATGAAGCCTTGCTAATGCAATTTTATGAATTGAGATATTTGAACTTAAAATGTGTCCGAAACCATTATAGTTAGTTATTTAATTTTAATTTGACCAAGGTGTTTTGTTCATTATAATATAATTTAATTCAATTTTCAATAAACAAAGTTGTATTCACGTCTAATGTAAACGCTGTTCTTGGAATACCCACGGGTATGTGAAAAAGTTTGATTGAAAAAGTTATGATGGTTTGGTTAAAGACCGTTAGAATCACTTAAACCGCTATTATGTGTTATCCCCTACCACCCTCTCCATTCCACTGCCAATAAATTGTATAAGTTACTAAACTTTTTACAGGCACATATTCCTACATCAAACTATTATCTGAAATGAATATTAGATAATACGTTTTATATGATAGTGTTGCCATTTTGTATCTTCTTTGGAATAAAATCATGATTATAAAAATTTAGGTTTACTTTTTTATTACTATCTTCTAACCACCTAGTAAGCTTTTGTATCAATATATAAACTAAATTGTTGCAGTATATAATTATACAGTGAAAGCAGATTAAGCCTCATACAAAGTATTTTAATTCACTAGTGGTTTTAATAATATATTTTAGTTTTAGCTAGCTAATTCGTTTTTATAGGGGATTGCTATTAACGTAGGTGGTATGGTTTGACACGGGATGGATATACTTTTTCATTTTGATGTCCCTAGAGGCCAAAAACACTATTAGTTCAAATGTTTGTATGTGTTTTTATATATTTATATACTTATATATATACGTCCGAGAACGCAATAACCTGTGTAATATTTGTCCGATTTTGATGACATTTGGCAAGAAGGTGTAGGGCAGGATAAACTTGAATGAGTTTGCGAATCAGCATGATCGGACTATATCAACGGGGCTCTAGGGGCTAACGATACATTCATTATTGACACTTTCCATACATCAACAACGACCAAAAGTCGTCAAAGATTGAAACAAAAACTGCCAATTGAAACGTGAGATATGTTAGAACTACTTAGCCAAAGTTTTATGAGAAAATCTAAAAGCACAATGATATTTTAAGAATGCAATGATTAGAATTTAGAATTGTAAATACAGTAACATAAATATGGATGTTCGTGGATATACCGCGAATGAAATTGACCATGTCATTAATTTAACAAAAAATATAATAAATATTTTATGTGGTGGATACTAAGTATCATATTACTTAATAACTATCATAAATCAAATACTCCGTAATATGTGTTTTTGGAACACATATTAATACCCAAAGCCCTATAAGTTTAAGGGGATCCGCCACCTTTAAATGGCCAATTTTTAAAATTTTTTTAATTTTCCAAATATGTTATTTTCTTATTCTACACACTTTTCTGAGTATGTGTGTAGATTTTTATCTAAATCTGATTATTTTTTCATACAAAAAGAAATGAAATAAAATATTGACTCAGCTACGCTTCAAGCTTCAGTATCGAGCTTCCCTGAGTAAGCCTCAACTTTAAACTCTGTTTCCCAAAATTTGGATTTTCCGTGTTTCTTGGTACAAAAATTTGAATAACTTCTAAAGTATATTATATAAAATTATGAAATTTTTACCACTATTTCATTGTTATATTACCAATATTTTGTCTTATGGAAAACACTCTGACTTTAAAACTAACTGTGAAAAAAAAAATTATAAATAAAAAAAAAACTATAAATATTATGTGTTTTTAATTGTTTGTAACTTTTTTCCTAGCAATTTTATCTTATTTTCCATAAGACAAAAGTTTCTTTAAGCTATAAGGAATAAAAATTTAAAAAAATCAAGCCAAATGGTTAAAAAGCAAAAAAGTTATTTAAAGTATAAAATATGTGTAAAAAACGTAAAAAAACGTTAACATTTCAAATTATAAGATACTTAAAAGGGTTAAAAAAATAATTCCACCTGGAAACCTTATTTCTAACACTAATAAA